TAAACGCCACTTTTAACGCACTTGCCCTCGTCGTGACCCGACGCGTTCACCTATTTCAACAAAATTTCAATTTATTTCCAAGCGGCTGTCATTTATTTAGTAACTGTGATTTGTCGTTTTTTAAATTATTTTATAGTGATCACTATGGTCTAATGTTTAGAATGTCAAAATATGTTCTCTTTTATTTTAATTTTGATAGTTTTACTCAGACGATCGATGAAATAAAACAGTGTAGTGACGCGCCTAGTAACCTGCTAAATAACGAGATAATTCCGAGGTAAAATTCTATTTTGTCCAGCGACAGTGTACAAACGTGCGCCGCTGACGATCACGGTGACCAGCTACACCAGAATGAACATATTTCGCATCTAACTCAACCCCATGAAACAAAAATTGATACTATGTGCTCATTATGGTCCATTCCTCCTCGACGAACAAGTACATAAGTGACAATATAGTCAAAGACGAGAAAACTGCAGAAGAAATTTGCCTTATCTACACGTATCGGCAATGCAAGCTGCCATGCGACTTCCCTTTCTGACGTCACAAGGGGAATTTCTGTATGCAAATAAGAAGCTAATGAGGAGCCTCGTTTTAAAATACACAAAAATAAAGTTGCCGTAGATTGAGTTTAAAACACATTTTTTCACTTAAAAAAGTAATTCATGCTTAGAAACATAAAAAATAATAATATTTATGTATCAATGAATAATTTTAGGCGTGAAAATAGCAGCCATTTCACAGGCACTTTAAACCCAGTGAAAATTAGTCATTTTACAGTATGTATAATTTTTGGTATGTGTTGGTTCTTGGATATTTCAGCTTTGTCATCCTGTTCTTGGATATTTCAGCTTCGTCGTCCTGTACTTCGTTTGCTAATTCCAACTTCCCAGATTGCCTAAAGACGAATAGTTTCACAATTTCGACACCGAAAATGCTTTGGCTTAATTATCTGCTAAGGGACGGCCGCTTAGGTATGTGCTCTGTAACCTGCAGCACATGAACCTAAAAGCGTTAGGTAATCAAACAAAAATGATGTTGTACTAAAGTCCAAAAAGTTCATAGCATAAAAATGATTCGCTCCCTCGCTTATTTTGACAGCCTCAAATCAACTGATTTTCATTCCCCTCAAAAGTCATTAATGGTTTTGTCCCCTATTTTCCGCTACGACTATTAATTGCCTTCAATTTTGGTGGCTGTCACTGTCGTTTTGCCGTTAACGTTATGGTTCAAATTCACATAGCTATCGCCGAGAAAATGCCAAAAATCTTTCAACTAACATACTGGAAATCAAATTAGCATAACAATACTTTTGGCCTTTGTCGCCATATTGAATTTTCCGGGACACCACAGACAACTACAACATTTAAACCTTATTAGGGAAATTCAATCGCATTAAATTATGTTCACCATACTAGGCTATCAAAACAAATTTATATGCGCTAAAGTACCTTCAAGGTCTTCACTTTCTCCTGGCATAATAAACACGGTTTTCACTCTCACTTACTAAAAGTAAAATATTTTTTGGTAGCAGTCACTGTACAATGTAGCTATCTCCGCGGTAAGTAGTCTCTCTCTTGGTTATTACTGTCGTCCAAGTAAGTAATTCACGTCCCAAATTTTGGTTTCCGGGCGCCTCTAATAAATAAGCTATATTACCACCGGGCTGAATCAATGATATATATCACCCTAAAAATAAATGATTGGGCGGAAATCGTTCTTTTTTTTTTTTTTACCTCAACCGTTTTCGCTTGGAAAGACATTCATGCTAAATTTTGGATCCTCAGGCACCTCTAATAAATAACCTATCTAAGCGCTGGGCTGAATCATTCATATCACCAAATAAACATGGAAGATTGGGGGAACATTTGAAACGTTGGTAATTGTATTGCATTACTTGCATTACATTGCATTTTATCATTGAGGTAAATAGTCTCCCACCCCTTGGTTATTACACATGGACTGTGGTTATTACAGTTATCACGGATTTGTTGTTGCCTGAGTGATTCACGTCCCAAATTTTGGTTCCCTGGGTGCCTCTAATAAATAACCTATCCTATTTTTGGCCTCGTCCTTTTTTTGCTTGAAAGGCTTTGGCGATTTGACTCTATTTTCAAAGACTCAGGTTGTTCGGATTGGACGATTTCCTTTGTTACCAATTCGTTGTATGCCTAGAAACATGGCAACGTTGTTTTTGGTGAATATATAACATGTTCTGTTCCAATAAAGGATCATATGCATAACAATTCCTTACTGAAACATTTCCTGTACTCTCTAAAATTTGACAACGCCACTAGCCCAAGATGAACTTGAATGTTCAGGACACTGTACGTAAAAACACTAAGCAAATAGATGGAAATACTAGTTGCATATATCATGAAGATTGATGATTCGATTGCTGGCCGGAATAGTGTTCATTTCTATGTAATGTAAAATCATATCGCTGCTGTGGATGGCGACGGCTGACAGATTGTTAGGTTCTGCGGCTCTCATGCTGCGGGCAACTGATTTTTACTATGCTGATGTGTTTCTGGTAAAATATAGAAAAATAATACAAGATATTTACTAACCAGTTTCTCGGGTAGTTTATTATCGGATGACAGTGCTTTCCACAGGGAATTACAAACATTGTTAAATTCAGTCCATCCTGCAGTTGTTGGTAGTTGAAATAACAAAGGCGAGTAACCATTCAGTGCTGATTGATATGTTGTAACTTTGCCAATGTCTGTGGGACTATCCCCAACAGCCATTAGTAAAAGTGTGGTGAAGTTATTAAGTTCACTTGCGTCTATAGAAAGAATAAAAATACATCATACATATCATACATTACAGAATTGTGCTTACAAATTATATGCTAATTCATTTGGCACAAAAGATAATGATAATTAACAAATGTATTTGACTCTAGATGATAAAACAACTTTAAAGTTCCATTTACCTCTCAAGCCTTCAATACTCCAACTGATGATTTCTTTACACATAGTAAATGTTTGTAAACACTCTAATCTTTCATCTGTGAAAGTACGTAGAACATTTCTTGTATCAACCACGCTGTCGTTTATTGACTTCAAATACTTGCCTTCTCTTTTAGTATCCTGAAAAATGTTATCATCCATGAGAATAATCCACTGACATCAATTATTAATCAGAACAAATAGAGCTTTTAATAGTTTAAACCTATAAATCAAACATTTACCTGTTCATCAATTATGGTGATTGAAGTAAAATCACCATTAACTTCAAGAGCATCCTTGCATTTTTTTACGACAGCTGCTGCTTTTTTCACCTCTTCCAGGGAAAAATAATCGTGTACAGTTGCACAAAATTTTGCAATTTCCTCTTTCTCCCCCTGTTTTCCTACAATGGGAACTAACTGGTCATGAAGTGAATTTATATTATGCTGGTATGCTCTGAAGTAGTAATGTACATCAGAAAGTAAGATATTATGAGAGGATATCTCATCTTTTAGTTTCTTTAATCTAGACTTTACATATGGCCATACTTCAGTTGCTAATCTATCAACAGCTTCTACATCAAAGCTAGTCGTTGTGACCTGATCCTCCACATTTTCTGTTGACATTTCCTGAACGAGTTCAGATGAAATAGTTGCTGTTGGGATAACATTTTCTGTTATGGACTGAATTGATTCAGGTGACTGGATTGAAGTAGTTGGCATGTTGAGACTTGGTGGAGCAGTCTGCACATATTTATTGGTATCATCAAACATTTGGACAACTAATTTACTACAAGGGATCTCATTTATCATGATAATTACTGACTTTGGTAATTGTGGAAAACTGTTGTTTTCATCTAGTGTATGACTATTAGTTATGAATGGGGACTCAGACAGTTTGTCAAACACCTTCACGTCAAACATGTCACAGATGTGTGACTGAGGATCTTCCAGGGTTTCTAATATACGGTGCAGTACTGTGAAATCATCTGCAATGAAAAAAACAAGTCAATTGTATAAGAACACCTCAGCAGGTTCCGGCTTATCAGATAATGTTAAAACTGTATCTGTAACCATTATTCAGTTATCCCTATACCTAACATAAAAATGTACTGTATTGTACAAACTTACGATTTGATTTTTGAAATAGTCCAATCACAAGTTGCACTTTAGATTTGAAGTGTAATAGAGCTTTGACTTCCTTCTCTCTAGTTGTGATGCATTTGGTCATATCCTCTACAGTTATTTTGCATTCATCTGTTCCCTGATACTTATCTGCTGTTTTCCACAACTTTGCAAAAGCATCTTTATGGTGTACAAGTATTTGCAGCTGTGATATTGATATTGTGCCATTGAATATATCATTACTTAAACGTTGAATATATGACTGTACACGTTTGTAGTCAGTGTTTCTAGCATTTACTTCAGCAGGAATTACGACTATGAAAGAGACAAAGCAGATATATTGATACACATTATTGAACACTTACTTTTCATCAAGCCAAAATACTCATTAATTCAAGCCAACATAAATTCAGGACATGTACACTGCACATCATAGTATGTATACCCCAATAAAGTCTTACAGCACATTACGTCACTTAATTGTATCAACCAGCTCTATGCACTGTAAGTGATAGTGTGTAATAAACTCATAATAGTATTACTGAAATTCTGACCTTCTTTATTCAATTTTGACAGCATTTCACTGCACAATTTCAGTGAATGTTTGAAGTTTTGCAGCATTTCATACTCTGTTTTCTTCGCTGTGATGCATTTGTGTATGTCTTCTATGTTAGGTATTTCAGCTGATTTGGTATACTGTTCATCTTTGTGAATACTTTCACAAAACATTATAAACTCGGTTTCATTTTTCAGCATACACGTAATACTTCCCATCTCTACATCACACTTATATAGGTCCTCTATTCCATGTTGTATTAATGTTTTTGCATCCTTCAAACATGTTGCTGCTTCTGGAGAAACATTGACGTCAACTAATAAATATAACAAACAAAAGTGAATGTTATATGCCAGATATAAGCTCGGTATACATGATTGGGTTGATTTGGCTTTATCAAAAATTTCAGATACCTATCAATATCTCTATTTGAAAGTAAAGCAAAATAATCATCAGTATATATCAGCTCATGTTATTTTTCTTGTGTACTTGCTTTACATGATTTTGTGTCTTTTAGTGAAGCAAATAACCCAGTCTATTTCTGTTTACAAGATCAAACATTTCCATACGTTCTGTAATTTTATTGACTCATGCATGGCAATCGAGTTGACAGGGGTTTTCATCACAAATACCATATTTCCCCAGTCATAAGCCCAGGTGCCTCAACATGTAAAATTGGGGAAAGTAAGGGTGTGCTTGTACCCGAGGACAACCTCAGAAATTATGATTGTTTTGGTTCAACATTGTAACCATGTTACCACCCTCATAAAATTATCCAAGTTACAACTTTCATTCACCATGCTGGGCTAGGGAGAATTTTATTTTAATACGATTCACATTCATGTACCATCTGAATTTACGGTGTAAAAATGATTGAGGTCAGGGGAAAACAGTCAAAAGCAAGATCACTATCCTTATCTTTGTGGCAGGATGTTTTCGATCATGCACAAACTCTTGATGTAATGAAATTTCCACCATGATATTTTTTCGGCATGCTTCGACCTGAAATGTCAAGTCTGTCGTTAACCAATTAAATGCTGTGTCGTACAGACTAAGTTTTCAGGAAATTTGCAATTATTGATGATGTTATCTCTTTTAAAAGTAAGTGCATTATCACGATAATGCGATAAAAAAACAGTGATTTATTTCCTATAAGCTTGTGATTTGCAATTTTTTAAAGTTAACTGAGTGTGGGGGAAGTATTTAACACCTTTAACGATCGCCATCATGTCACTTTGAAGCATAGTTTACTCGTTCACACCCCATTCACGATGGAGACAAGTCCAATGACCAGGTTTCACGGCTTGACAGCCACATTTTTAGTGTTTTGAAAGCTACCACTCAAAAAAATATGGATTACTTCACTATTGCAACATTGGATTCATTGTGAATAATAACAGAACACAAAAAGTGCAAACCATGTTACGATGTTCACCATGCATTGTGAATTTAATGATGACCCAGTGGAGCTGTTGGTCTGGGGGTCTCTCCAGCGTGAAGTTTTTCTTTAAACGACTTCTTCTTCAAAAGTACTTGATCAATTACATTCATATTTGTACCAAAGGTACTTGGGGTGGTCTACTGTCAGATTTGTTCAATCCGTGTCAAAATATGGAAATTTGGATTTTAAGTGAATATTTTTGTCATTTCTGATAAAAAATTTTTATTTTCGACAACTAGTCCGAAACCGTAAGTCCAAATGCTTTCATATTTCTAGCAATGATACGTGGGGTGGTTATCTGTCAGATTTGTTAAATTCGTCTCAAAATATGCAAATTTGGATTTTTAATGAATATTTTTGTCATTTTTGGTAAAAAATGTTATTTTCAACAACTAGTCCTAAACCGTAAGTCCAAATGCTTTCATATTTCCAGCAATGAAACGTGGGGTGGTCCTCTGTCAGATTTGTTAAATTGGTGTCAAAATATGCAAATTTGAATTTTTCTCATTTTTGGTAAACTTTTTTATTTTTGACAACTAGTTCAAAACCGTAAGCCCTATTTACAGAGGGCTTTCAACTGAATATGAAACATAATACAACTTTAAAGTATACTTTGAATATATAATAGCACAAGTGAGTTAAGTAACTGGTATTTTTGATGACAAATGCGATGATTATTCTGCTTATATCAGGTCCCTTAACTTGCACACATAATAATTTGGACGGTCATTATACTTTCAAACAGTTGTCTAACAATATTCATCTTATCTTCCGATATGCCCAAGAATGTGATATAATGTCATAATTTGCATATGAATAATAAGACTTGTCATCTCATGTGTTACTTTTAGTTTCAGTTATTACTATCCCAGTGTTGTACTATTTCAATTAGAGTGAGTTCACTGTTTTGCATTTTATTACAGAACATATAGACCCATACTCTCAATATTAATGCAAAAGCAAAATAGAACACTGATACAGTCATTAGAAACAACTTTTAGATGTTCTCAGCTTATTTCAGAAGCCACCACAGTGTATGGCACAACAATTGATCTTGCATTCAGCAATGTCTTATGTAAAACTGGAGTAATTGACTCTCTTATATCTGATCATAAGATTATTACTGCACATATTTATTGAACATTTGTTTTTGGGTGTAACAAAACAATTACGTATATGTATAACTTTATTAGGAAGGATAACATTTCAAAAACATGACCACAATTTTCAAACAAAAACATATTTTTTTTTCTCGACTATTTCTCAGGTTTTTGCACACCCATGATTTCTTAAGTTTAGGAAATTGAAGATATCATCACAAAATGAACAAATCTAAGAGGTCCACATGTAGTAATTACATGTATATATATAATATCAAAGCAATCAGACTCGTTTTTAACGAGAAGTCAAAAATATCACTTTTTACCAAAAATGACAAAAATATTCGTCAAAATTAGAGAATTAAAGATATCATCACAAAATGAACAAATCTAAAAGAGGTCTGCCCAAGGTACATATACACCAAGTATCAAAGCAATAAGATTTGTAGTTTTCAAGAAGTCGAAAAAGTAAAAAGTTGACACGGACGATGACGAACAATCACTCATATGATAGTCTCTGCTTGACAAAGTCAACAGCGGAGCTAAAAATATAGGGGTGGGCTTATACCCAGAGAAGTATAGTATACCTATACATGGATATCTATGTTGCATATACTTATTTTATACATTTTTGATATTTTATAAGTAACTTACGGCTGAGCTCTATACACCTGGGCCAAGCTTTTTCTTGTAGCAGGAGTTTAAACTTATCATCATCTTTTTTTCCCCTAAGTTTCGACCACAGACGAATTATAAATTGCGAGATAAGCTGTGTATATCTTTCAAGATTGTCTGATTTCAATTGCAGTATTGGCTTCCTTTCAGAACTCTACAATAAAACAAACTCAGTTAGCTGCGATGCATTGATTTTAGTAAATAAAACATACAAGACAACAGATTTGTGAACTATCCATGTCATATATCACATCAAGAAAAAGCATATTCATTTATAAAATATGTTACTTATTTGGCTATTTAACAACAATTGTAGTTGCCTGTAATTCCAGCGTAGAAAGATGCAACGTTTGTTTCAAATTACATGCTCAAGTGCCAATTTGATGCAATAGTTTTGAAATATAGTTAAAGCAAGGGATTTATAGGTAATTTCTTAGTAGTGTTAGTAGTCTGTTGTGAATCTTTGCTTAATACTAAGTCAGCTAATTCCCTGCCCGCCAAAAAGTAGAAAACGTTTGTTAATATGCGTAAATGAGATGTCAGTAGGACAAATATCCCATATAAAAGTGAGTGCACAAATGCCAGACAGTCTTTCTACTTTTATGGCCTTTCTCAGGGTCAGATCGAGTACAAAATGAACACTCAGATTTAGTGTCAGTGGAGTGTGCATGTGTGGCATGTTCGATTATGCATGTTTTGAATACATCATACTGACCCTACTTAATACTGATAGCAGTACATCAAACTCTGAGATTGCGAATGAACTGGAGAATAGTGAAAAGAGTGCAAGTAGCAACCCCTATTTAGACAGACCAATCTTAAAAAATGAAATAACTAAAGCCATTAGACTTCTTAAAAGTAACAAGGCTTCGGCAGAAGATAGAATTTGCAATGAATTGTTAAAATACGGTGAACATCACTTATTAGATGCAATACATAAACTCTTTAATTTATTTACTTATTGACTCTTACACAATCCCCGGAGGGAAAGAAAATGGTCACAAAGTACAAGGAGAAATATATATATATAAAAAACAAAACAAAAACACAATATACTAAAAAACAAATAACAAATACAATCACTAAATTACTAAATAAAACAAAATCTCTAAAAAACAATCTAATATAAAATTACAAAATTGACAGCAGGCATTAAGATGTCAAGTAAGACCCTGCTTCCTGACTTCAAAGCTTTTACTTATGAACTGTGCTACTGGTATAATAATGTTTTCATTCTGTAACAATTCCATGAATTTTTTCTCTGCAGGTTTATTTTCAAATGCTGGGATCATATCCTTAGCTTTATTGAACAGTTTGGCACGCAACTCATTATATTTGTTGCATTCCAGCAGAAAATGCATTTCATCCTCAATTAGACCTTTGTTACACATGTCACAAACCCTGTTGTTTAGTGGGATTTTTTTATGACGACCCATTTCAATTTTGAGACTATGGTCACTAAGACGGAATTTGGTAAGCACACTACGCAGTTCAAAGTTTTTTACTTGACTAAATATGGCTCAAGTTTTAAATCTGATTTGATTAGCCGATATGTTCTTAGTTTGTTTTTCTCATTTGCTTTGGTGCGATTATCATTATAGACCTCACCTTTCCATCTTGTTAGAAATAAATCCTTGATGCCTAAATCAATAGTGTTTATAGTTCAAATAACTATCCACATTCTTGGAGCACTGGCCTGTTGGTACCAATCCACAAATCTGGGTCGAAAAATAACCCGGCCAACTACAGGGGAATTGCCATCTCTAGCTGTCTTGGCAAGTTATTCAATAGTATTCTAAATATTAGGCTGACATCATTTTTAGACTCTAATAACATTCTTTCCGGTCGACAGTTCGGATTCAGGCATGATTGTCGAACTACAGACAATCTTTTCATACTAAAAACCCTGGTAAATAAATATCTCTACAGTGGTAAGTCAGAGTGCGCCAATAAACAAAATAACACAAATATTAAAAAATCAAAAAAATTATATGCCTGCTTTATTGACCTTAGAAAGGCCTTTGACAGTGTCTGGCATGATGGTCTATTCAAAAAATTAATCAAATATGGTATAACTGGAAAAATGTATAAAACTATCAAAAACATGTACAGTAAAGTAAAATATAAAGTTAAATGTAAAGAAAGCTTAACAAAACAATTTCA